CAGGCTTGTCCAACCTGCGGCCCGAGGGCCACATGCGGCCCAGGTCAGCTCATAATGCGGCCCAGTGCAATTTTTTATTTTTAATGGAATTCCAAAGTTTCAAGTTACACTGCTGGCGCTTGCGGCTGGAATGTGGCCGGGGCATGTCCCCCCAACAGTAGAGGGGGACAGAGGGAAGGAAGGAAGGAGTGGGAGAGGAGGGGACAGAGGGGCTGCGTGACTGCATTGCACCGTTCCCATCAATAGGCGGACCCCCTCCCGGCCCCATAAAGCCGTCAGAGTCGAAGCTGGCAGCCTCTGCTGTCTAAGATCGCAGCTGCCAGTAAGCACGCTTGGAGCGGGGCTGCGGAGGAAGGCTTGGGCTGCCCCCCATGTGGCCCAAACCAAATATATGTGCGGCCCAAACCAAATTTTCATCTTCTAATGTGGCCCAGGGAAGGTGAAAGGTTGGACACCCCTGCTCTAGTACCTCATCAGAGGTAACCGGGGGCCAATCTACCCAGCCAGAGGAAACCATGAGGAGAGCTCAGGGGTGGAGGCGTTTGGCTACGGAGCCAGAGGTTGGGAGTTTGATTCCCCGGGGGTCCTCCTTGACCAAAGGCTGGATCCAATGTTCCAGAGGGTCCCTTCCAGCTCTGCAGTCCCAAGATGATGATGATGATGATGATGATTTTTACCTGTCTTGAACCTCCCACCATTCAACCTCCATGGATTCTTTCCGCTCTAGTCCCTGGAGAAGGAGAGAGGGGCGTCTCCCCGCTCTCGACTCGGTCAACCCCATGCACGGGTCTGCGCTTATGCTGCTCCCTGGGGGGGGGATCCTCTTTATTTGGGGCAAAATTCACCCACAGGTTGCCACTCCCCCCCCAAGGAAATGGCTCCAGCCCCCCATCCTTCCTGGCTCGTTGGCGGATTGTTTTTTGTCCTGAGTCACTTGGCCCTTTGACGGCTCACCTGTCCTGCCGGGGGATTTAGGAATCCGTGGACAGGCGGACCAGGCCAACCCAAGATTCCCTGTATCCTCTTTATTTGGGGCAAAATTCACCCACAGGTTGCCACTCCCCCCCCAAGGAAATGGCTCCAGCCCCCCATCCTTCCTGGCTCGTTGGCGGATTGTTTTTTGTCCTGAGTCACTTGGCCCTTTGACGGCTCACCTGTCCTGCCGGGGGATTTAGGAATCCGTGGACAGGCGGACCAGGCCAACCCAAGATTCCCTGTGGGATCCCGGGGGATCACCTCTCACCCCACTGCCGCCAGGTCTCGCCCTGGATCCTACACCCCCAGCTTTGATCGGACGGCTCCGAACCTTCCACAGATTTGCGTTTGTTGCACCTGGAATGTTGTGTTTCGTTCATCTCGGGAAGCGCAGCGACTGGAGGGAGTGGGGGACAAAATCCCTTCCCCAGCCGTTGGGTCTGCAAGCCAAGGAGGAGACGGGGAGGGCTCTGGAGGGAGACCGAGAGAGGGAGAGACCCTTCCCCACAAAAGAAGAAGGGGCAAGAGGCAGAGGCTGTGGTGTGACCGGGCAGCTTCAGCATTGTTTCATGCCCAAGAATGTTGTGTATGGAAAATGTTATTGATTTGAGGTACTTTTAAAGACTCGCCTTCGACATCGTTTTTCAGGGACCTCCACCTGTGAAACCAGGTTGTTGGGTTGTCCGAACGGCCCTCCAGGACCCAGGAGGGCAGCTGCGATGCTCCGTTGAAGAATCCCGTCTTACCCTGAAGCCGATCCACTTGCGTCGGCCATCGCCTCTCTGAGGCTGCCCTCCAGGAAAGCGGCTGCCTAGCAAACTGTGTCAGCTTTCAGGCACCACAAGGCTCCAGAGTGCCTCGACCTCAAGACCCCCCCCACAAGGGTGACTTACTTTTGAGTAGCCACGTCCAGGGCTGCCCACGTGCTTTCCCCCAGCTCCTCCTGGCACATGTCCATAAGTGCAGAAAGGGTGACCTTTCCACACAGATCTCAGTTGCCCTCCCCGGGAAGGGGGAATGGAAAAGCCTTTGACACGCCCCCCCCCCAGTAAACAGACTTCTGCTAGCCCCCACGGGGGCCCAGAGGGGAGGGTCCTGCTTCAACTGAAGGGTCCCAACACACCCAACAAGATTCTTCTGGCCAGTGGAGCCCCCCCTGCAGATTTTAGGGGTTCCTCCCCCTGCCATCCAACCAGGAGTCAGTCATGGGATGGGGGGGTCTGATAGGGGGTCTGATAGGGGATCTTCACAGCTGGGGAGCCAAAACATGGAAAGGGGGGGAAGCTGCATCCCTCTGGGGAGCCCCCCCGCTCTGGCTCTAGCCTGGCTTGCCCTTGTTCCTTCAGACCCCCCCCCCAGCATCCTCGTCCAGGGCTCGCTCCGCTTAGGGTCTGCTTTATTTGGGGTCTTTTTGATGCTTTTTAAAAAAGGAATTCCTCTTTTCCTGCTATAAAAGTCCTTTGGGTCACTTGTTGGGACCCCACCAGCCTCGGCGATGCCAAAGTCAAGGATGATGGGCGGGGGCGGCTGGGTCTCAAGGCCCCCAGAGGCCCCCTTGTTCCCCAAAGATGTGTGCAGTGCATGTGTGTGTTTTCACACACAGGCAGTGCAGGTGTTCCAAGGTGCACGCGGGGGGGGTCACAGCTGTTCTTGACCCTCCCTGGGAACATCTGCAGAGCAGGAAAGGGCTCCCCCGGCTTCCCTTCTGGGTCCAGGAGAGAGGACAATACGGGGAGATGCGGTCTAAGCGCATTTGGGGGGGGGCGCGGTGCAAGGGCAGCTTTTAACACTGAAAGGCGCCTCAGGTCTTCTCTAGAGGAGGAAGGTAGGAAATGCATCCTGACAGAGACGGGATGTTTCTGTGGCCCAGATCCTGGCTGGGGTGCAGAATCCGCACGCGGAGCAAGACCTGTCAAGGAATCTGGCTAAACAACAACCTCACCAGTCGTTGTTTTAAAATAATTCTTCTAATCCTGCCTACGTTTCTCCTGCCTTGACGTCCATAAAGTTAAAGGGCATCTGAAAGGCAGGTTTGGGCCCTTCCCGGGACTTGACCTTGAGCAACCGGGGCATAAAGGGAGCCCCGTGTTCCCATGAGGCCTGCCTCGCCCACATGGTGGTTCCCACCAGCATGCAGCCAGGGTCTTGGGACTACGACGCCCAGAATCCCCCAGCACCTTTCACAAACTCTGTGCTCTGTGAAAATGTGCTTCCGCCACCCAAACCTCTTTCTTGTTGCTCACTCAAAATGCAGCATCCGAGGACTTCCTCCCCCCATCTATTCTCTCCCCCCCCCGGAAAAAGCAACCTTTCCCCATAAATTTGCACTCCTGAGTTGCATTTAGAGCTTCTTTTGGGGGGGCTCTTTAATGAAAATTTGTACAAACAAACGAAAACTCATGCAAAAATTGTAGAAATGACAAGAGGGGAGTGACGGGTGGGCAAGTTTAAATACACAATGCGGCAAGTTGGCTCTGAAATTAAAACCCATGCATCGGAAAAAGCAACCTTTCCCCATAAATTTGCACTCCTGAGTTGCATTTAGAGCTTCTTTTGGGGGGGCTCTTTAATGAAAATTTGTACAAACAAACGAAAACTCATGCAAAAATTGTAGAAATGACAAGAGGGGAGTGACGGGTGGGCAAGTTTAAATACACAATGCGGCAAGTTGGCTCTGAAATTAAAACCCATGCATCTCTTCCTCACCCCCCCCATCAAAAGTGCATTGCAGGAGAGCGATGGGGGCGAGGAGGGCGACCCTCCAAGCCAGGGTCACACACCTCCCATACTTGGGGCAGGGGGAGCCAGGTCTGGGGGGCAAGGACACCCCCCTCTCCCAAGCCCCTCCCCAAGCACAGATGGCACAGACACCTCTGCCCCCCCCTGCTGCCTGCTGGCTGTCAGCAGCCCTTGGGGTGGATGGAAGGAGAAATTGGGGGGAGGGAAATGGGGTCTTGGCACGGAGTCCAGGGTCACACACCTCCCATACTTGGGGCAGGGGGAGCCAGGTCTGGGGGGCAAGGACACCCCCCTCTCCCAAGCCCCTCCCCAAGCACAGATGGCACAGACACCTCTGCCCCCCCCTGCTGCCTGCTGGCTGTCAGCAGCCCTTGGGGTGGATGGAAGGAGAAATTGGGGGGAGGGAAATGGGGTCTTGGCACGGAGTGGAGTATTGCAATGGGCCAGATGCGCAGCCAGCCAGCCAGGCTAAGGGAGAACCCCCCCATCCACCACCCCCACATGCCCCCACTCGGTTTCACTGGAGGAAAGGGGCGGGGGGGGTGAAGACTCTCCCCCAGAGAGGAGGGGGCGGCAGCAGCCGGCGGCCTGGGCTGGCTAGCCCTCGGGCTAAGTGGCCAAGCCACGCTTCAGAGAACAATGAGGAGGAGGATGACTCCGGAGAAGACCAGAAAAACACCCAGCAGGAAGAGATGATTCTTTCGGGAGGGGGGCAGGAACCCTCTGAGGATACCCGGGGGGGGCTTGCTCGGTTGAGCACAACCCCCCCCCAACGATGGCTGACGTTGACGTTACGGTGGCTTCTGGGTTTGCACGCTGGCCTGTTCTGTGCAGCTCCAAGGGGGGGGGGATATCAAAGGGGAGTCTGGACTCTTGGATTTCCTTCCCCATGGTGATCCGCCTATGCTCACTGGGGG